TTTTTTTTTTGCAATGCAGGGCTTATTTTTTCCAAAGGTTGCCATTTCAACTCACTTTCAGTTTCACAGAAACTTCGCAATTCCTTGATTCCTCTCCATCTCGCTCCATCTGAGGCATTTACTTTCTTTTTTCATAAGTTACAGACAAGGGATTGCGACCTCTAAAACCCTGCAAATGCTGCAGTCAAGAGCTGGCCACCAACTCCCATAACGAACCCGTCATATAGTCAGACGTTCACATTTGTGATTTCTGCGGACGTTCCGATTGACTCTGATACCTTCCTTTGCTGGTTGAGAGTTTTTGGTGATCTTATACTACGATTCAGATCTTTCGATAAGGTCTACATAACAATAATAAGCGCTTTGAATCCAACACTTTGCCTACACAACCTGACTTCAATATGACGCCTTCAAGCCTTAAATTAACAATAATAAACTTCGACAATTTTCAATTGTAATTGATATATCTGTTTTCTTCAAAATTCAAAGAAGTTACGAAGGGCTTTCAGTGTCTTCAGGAAATTAACATAACAGAGAAGGAAAAATTGTCACCGGTAAAAGAGCGGAATGATAGTGTGAACGAAGGAAGGAGTGGTGGGAGGTTGTGCTCACATTTGAGTGAATTCTAGGCAATCTTCACAAAAAAACATAGCCAACGATCCTTGGCCTTCTACAGGTCGATCTAAGGACTAAAACGTAAGCGAATTCAAATATTGCCTACGTTTTAGTCCCATTCGAAAGAAAATGTTATTTTCATATGAAAAGTAATAACGAAATAATCAACGTTAATTAAGAATTATCAAATTTACCACGGCATGCACAGGTGAAATGAAATAGCACGGTATGAAATTTATTTTAAAGACGAACTACTGAAGAAAGCTAAACACACGGTTCATTTGCAAAAATATGAAATCGGACGGGGTTGGTGATGAAGCGAATCGATTTTGCCAAGTTCTCACCTTCCCGCCACATTGACTTTTCTAGCTGATCTACCCACTTTGCTTCAACCACTGGTTGAAGCTTTACAAAAAATGTTCTTGAAGTCTTTCCTATAAACTGCCTAATAATCGATCACGCGATCAGGATCTCACGGGAACCTCTAATTTTTGGCCTCGGCCAGGCTTCGGAGTGTTCAAACGATTCACAGCGATCACACCGCCGAAGCTGCTGAGATGACTATTTCTCAGAAATACTGACAAATAATCAACTAACAACTTTTTTCCCTTCGATAACTATGTATTAAGCTACCACGGCGGACAGGTTGAGGCCAGTGAACAAGTGAATGTTTCGTGTAGGTCATTTACTCCTCAACCTCCGAGCCTCACTCTCAGAAACTAAGTTGCTGTACAACTAGGCGTCCCCCTCCCATCCCGACAGCATCTGAAACTTCCGCTGCTCAATGACCCCACTTGTACCACTCACACTCTCTCTTTTATCAACTCGGCCTTCCCCAGCGTTGCCTGGCCAAGAAACATGCACAACAAAGACAACATGAAAACGAGACGGAAACCTGCTGCCTATTTCGTCCTTTTTTCTTTTTCACGATGGCATCTCACTCATTTCCCTTCTGTACTCAAACAATCAGGACTCTAGATCAGGTAGTTACTTTCTTTCGTTCCAGTCAATCAGCAGATTGTGGCAAGTTCCCAAGTGGGTTTGGTGCAGTTAGATCAGCAAAGGAACTTATTAAATTGCCATAAAAGATAAGCAAAAACGGAATTTTCTCACTTCAAGTACCCGTTGAATTGCATTCAACAGAAGTTATCTTCCATTCTGTATTTCAATTTGCTTTCAGTTTTCATTTGCTTTCACTTTTTGTAATTTCAACGGGTTTTGTGACTCATTCTAAAGCCATATTCAGTAGCCAATACAAATATTTTACCCTGCAATTTCAATGTAAACAGCCAAAACGTATCTGACGCTGACCAAGGCTGCAATGATCTTTAGGAATACTCTTTGGGATCCATTCGCCTAATTTCCAGAAGCGATTTGGTTTTTTCATACTTCGCTCCCAAATTCGATATGTTTAGTTCAGTATTCAGAGTCACTGTAACGAAAAACACATTACTACGATCGATATATTGAATATGGCGCCTTCTGTCGTTTTTGCGAAGAAATTCTCAAATACAAAGTGAACGAGACGAATGACATCGCGACCGTGGTGAACAGCAGCAAGGCCAACATTGCTGCGGAAAGCAGGACCACAGTTTTCGACATGCAAACATCGCTGGAAGATTCTGAAATCATAGCAACAATCATGATACCTCATTTGTCGAACATGGGACATTATCTTTGAAAAATGCTCTTCTACCTGAAGAACTCCAGCGCCCTTTCTTCAGGTCCATTTCCTCCGCAGCTAATTCCACTTCTACGCTATCGAAAAGACGCAGTCCGCTGCTCTGTGACACGTCTCGAGGATTTCGTCGATGGAGTGGGCATATCTCCTGGAAGTTACTCCTTCATTCACTCTGTACAGCTGAATATGTTTGTCCAATGGCACACTCTTGGTCCATTTGTTTGCAAGAAGTACCAATGCAAAAGGACGAGTGCTACAGAACCAAAGGAGTGAAGGACATAACAGGACATGCATACACATGCACGTCACTCCTGTCAAAAAGTGGGAATTCCCATTTCATAGTATTTTTCCCAGTTATCACAGGGAGGTATATATGCCTACGTGGAAACTTCGCTCAACGTTCAACTAATCTTTGATCAAGGTCTCAATTATTGGGTTGTCCGAAAAGTTCGTGCCGATTTGAACACCTTTGGTTCATCAAGTGTTTGAAAAAGATCGTTGGCAGAGCCTCATAGTGTCATATATTTTCTGAGAGTGTAAGTTTTTATCTCTATCCCTTTTCTGGTTATGTTGATTTTCTTTGAAGTTTCTTTGTATAGGGCTTGAATGAAAATGGAGACAATCGCGTGCATTTTCGCCTTTTTTTGCTTT